CCTAAGGTGGTAAGCCTCTTCAAGGATAACCTGCTCTGATACCAATTGATGTTTTATACTTCAATGTCACACAAGAAGGGGGTGATTTGTGCGGTGTCCAATTTTCGCGTGCACAGATTACAAAAGGACATGGTTCTTCTATGTGTTCCTTTTACTACTATTGCAGAAACAATAAATGCGAAAATTAAAGAATACAAGTATTTTTGTACGTGAAAAACACTCGTCCCAAAAGGTGAAAGAAATCACGACCTACTACTCAGTAGGATTTTCCTCAACACTTCACGAAATCTTTGAGCCAAAACAACATTTGAAAAAATTCTTTGTAAATCTAAGGATTACATCTAATCCCGTTGTGGCACCAGCCTCTAACTGTTACGACAACTTCAAGTTAATTCTAACTTGAATACTCAGATTACCTAATACAATTGCTTCTAGATAAAGTTAAAAGGTACAATTTGAAAACCCTACTACAATTGAACTAGAATAAAAAAACAAATACTTGGAATTGGTTCTTCTATCTGGTTCATGTAGTTTCAGGCTTGCACATAAGAATTTCTTGCAAAATGCCTTGCTATTTTGCTCTCAATTCACGTTTAACTTCAGCTTTTGTGCGCGCCTGTAAAGTGATGAGAACATCTTGCAATTGATAAAGTTAGTAGAATAGGAAATAACTAGAGTTCCAATGCTATATTCTTCCTTGGTGGAAGAGTTCTAGTTAACTTCAACTTCCAACTCCTTCCTTATCTTGGATACTGTTCTCTTTGAGTAAGGAGTCCTTTTCCTTATCACTTATGCAACTTTTTCGATCACGAGATATCAGATATAACAACTTAAGCTTATCCCCCTCACGTGCATCCCTTATGCGTGAATTTGCCCGTGTCTGTGTACAATATTGATGGACCTGGTTCAAGCTGGAGTTCCTTTGTCAATCATCAAAACAAACTTTACTTGCCAACATTTACTGATTATCAGAATTGATGCAAACCTGAGAGATAACTATTAATACATAAACATATAATAAAATCATGAGCAACTAGCGACTAGAAATAATTTATATGTCTGTACTTCTTAATCTTCTCTTTGCTTTTGTAATAATGCTATCATCTTGCTACAGCTGGGCAAATTCTGCGAACATTAGCAGTTCCGATTTATTCGATGCATAAAACGGAGCGTTTCTGTTTAAAATTTTAATCTAGAAAATAATAAAAAGAAAAGACTTTAATATTTGCGTGCGTGCATGTGGTAACCCGTAACCAAATGTGCGCAGATCTCAATTTTCAATTGTCTAAGATGGTTTTAAAGGTCGATTCCCTCATCCCTATACTCAACAATCAACATGGAAAGAAAAATTAGATCTTGCACTGAATTAGTATATGCATAGGATCGACCTGTGTCTTTTAAATTGTTTTATTGCCTAATCTTAGTTGAAATGTATTCGCAGTTTGATTTTGTGACTCCCACAGTTAAAATATTCATTTTCCTGCAAACACTTCAATGTACAAATATGTCGTCACCAAAAGTTGCAATCTGATAAAACGCGTTATTTTTTTCATTTATGAATACGGATTTCATATTCTGCTATACTGTGTAATTAGACAGTGAAAATGCAAATTAAACCTGAGGAGAAAAAAAACTGAGAAGTAAATTACAAACGCAAATTCATTAATCGATCTTCGTTTTTGGTCTATATGACATATAGAAGATGAACATTGATTTAAAATACTTAGAGTAGTAATCTCTAAACGACTTAATTTGGACTGTGGAGATTCGAGGGCACTCTTTAAGTAATTATTATCAACGAAGTTGTAAACCATTATTCTAAGATAAATTGAATTAAATTATGAGAATATGCCAACTGAGAACCATGCATACTAGAGGGATTCCCTTCTTGTCCCCTAATTATACTTTCTTTTTACTTTAATGTACTTTTCGAATACGAGAATTAGTCACAGTTATATTTTAGGTGTTATAACAACGTGGGCTTACTATAATTAGATCATAAAATAAGGATAAAATATCATGGTATAGCCAGTTTTCACACTGGTCAATGAAAAATAGCCAGCGTTTATCAAGTCAATGAAAAATAGCCACTATTTTGCTGCAACAGGGACCGGTCCAGTATAATATACGGGAGTTCTGGTGCATTTGTGTACGAACTCCAGCATATTATGCTGGACCGTTATATTTTGCTAACTCCTGTAAAAATTGCGGGAGACTGGAGCACCAGTGCTCCAAACTCCAGTATATTATACTGGACAATTATACTTGCTGGAACTCCCGTAAAATTTGCGGGAGTTCCAGCATAGTTATCCTGGAACTCCCGTAAAATTTACGGGAGTTCAAGCATACTTATGCTGGAACTTCCGTAAAATTTGGGGGCGTATTTTTCCGGATTTTGAACAGTGTTTTCGCTCAGATTTAAAGTGGCTAAATTTCGATGACTTTTGAAACTTGGCTATTTTTCAACGGCCAGTGGTAAATCTGGCTATTTTTAAATTTCTCCCTAAAATAAGAATTCATCATTGTAAATTATGAAGCACAGCCCAATATGGTCCACCATTTTTTCTCGTAACCTGCAAAAGTATTGTAGAATAAGGATTTCAAAATGCAAAGTTACAAGGATTGAATGCTATCTTCTAAATATTGTGCATTGTTTAGTGGTTAGTTGCGAGCTTTAACGTTTTTCACCTACTTATTGTTCCTAGCTGGTTAAGAACTTCATGGTAATTATTAAAATATTACAAGTGACTTATAATGTGTATTCGAAGCCTACAGTCCAAACTAATATGGGTTTACATCGAATAGGTCAATTAATGGGGTAAAGAACTCTCTACACAGAAACAAATTCAATTTCAAATTTCAATTATTCCATTTCACGTAAACAATTCCGTGTAAGTAGAACTATGCTTCAGTCGTGGGCCATGTGAGATGTCTCACGAGTTCCTGTGTTACGTTCTAGAGGGGTTCTCGGTACTAAGAGAAAAATAGAAAATTAGAAAATAATAAAGAAACTAAAGGTGTATTTGGTACGGAGAAAAATATTTTTCGGAATATGTTTTCCAATTTTTTCATATTTGGTTAGTTTAAATATTTTGGAATATATTTTTCCATTAACTCATTTTCCTCATTAAATCATTGGAGGAAAATGTTTTCCCTATCAAGAGAAGGGAAAATATTTTTCAAAACTCTTTTTCAACCTTCCTCGCCCTATTCTTGAAGAAAGTAGAGTTATGAAAATGTTGGGTATTTGGGGGGAGGGGGGAGGGGGGGAGGGGGGAGAGCAAAGAAACATGTGGACTTGGGGAAGGGGGTGAGGAGAGTACCATAAAAAAATATTTACCTGAAAAGTTATTTTTAACTCTCTAACCAAACACTAGAAAATATTTTCGTCTGTCACCAACTAAACAAAGGAAAATAAGTGATAAACCCACTCATTTTCCATGAAAATATTTCGTACCAAACACACCCTAAATGGAAACTAATATGTTTTTCTTTCTTTTCTTCTTTTACAATTATAAACCAGGGTTAGTGGAAAAAAGTACAATTTAAGGTTCGTATTTAGGGGTGTTCATAAAAATCCGAAAAACTGAACCAAACCGAAAACCAAACCAATCCGACCAAAAAAATCAATACTTTTTAGGTTTGGTTTGGTTTTGGTTTTGAATTTTAAAAATCGATCAAATTTGGTTTGGTTTTGGTTTTAATAAAAAAATGACCGAAAAAAAATCGAACAAAACCGACTATAAAAGTAGCTATTTAAATTTATTGTTACACCTATATATATGTATTTTTTAAAAAAGTTTCTAAAATTTTATCGTACATATTAGTCATTTGTATTTTTAGTCTAGTTCTTTGCTATTATAATAATCTAATTCTTTGCCTTTACATTCTAGTTTGATTGGTAGTTTTCGTTTGCTAAGTACAAGAATTTATTCATGATAAAAATAATTAATTTTTAATTGAGTACTTAAATTATTCATCACTATTTACTTCAATTAACATCAATATATCTTGGTAAATGATAAATTTCTCAAAGAGCAATTGATTTGTTAGCGTTATGTTGAAAATATAGTCGCCTAAATATGTATTTGTTAGTGTATGTCTTATATTTAAGAAAAAACCCGATAAATAACCGAAGAAAATCGAAAAACCGATAAAAATCGAATCGATAAAAAACCGACTTAATTGGTTTAGTTTGGTTCTAATATTTGAAAAACCGACTTACTTGATTTGGTCTCTTTTTCGAGAAAAGCCGACCCAAACCGAACCATGAACACCCCTATTCGTATTTGCTACTTTGTAAATGATCAACAGCATTATTTCAACTGCTTCTTTCTCAAGTACACAATAGAGGTACTCTCTATAGTGTTGGTGAAAACAGTTTTTATTATTATAGGCGGATTACTTCCGGACAATTAATGCCTACTTTCTCTAAATAATTATTTGGTCTATAGTTCATGGTTTGAGATCTACGTACTTTCTTCCATCCACCAATAAATTGATGCAATATTTTGTGAGTCAAATTTGTGTGACTTTCAAAAAATACGTTTAATTTATATGAAACTTTTATTTATAGTTTTACTTGAAAAATAAATGAACAAATATAATACCGAAAATTAGATGTTACTCCCTCGTACTCATGCCACCCTCTTTTTGAGAGGAGGAACTAAGCCAAGCGGATACCATAGATATTTCTTTTTTCTTGATGTGCGTCCTTTCATTTGTGTTACGCTCATTTTATCATTATCTAGGTAATTTGGGCAACATAGAACTATTCTACCACTATCTATTTCTATTTTCAAACTGATTTTGTATTTTCCAAGTAACCTGATAAAATAACTAATGGATAAGATTTAAAAGATATTGTATTACGTATAAAGTTAATATACAACTCGACTAATATCAATCAATTGCATAGAGTTTAATGCTTTTTTTTTCTTCATTCTAACAGAATAGAATAATGCTTCCACCATTCCTTTTCTTTCTTCCTTTAGACGAAACAGATCTGGCAGCGATATCTAATATATAGTCAATGTCCATTCATGCGTTGAATTTTTACACGGCAAGTTGTATACTAGAACAAATGAATTTATTAACATTATTTCTGCATTCTTTCAGCTTTCGTCTTGCCCCTTCACAAATAAAATAGTCATCTGTCATAAATCAAACTTAATTAAAGAAGCTTTACATCATTATAAATGAAGATACTAGCTATTCAATGTTACTCACTCGTTCTCTACTTTCAATAACAATGGTTTCCACAATTAATACTCTATCTTTGTTTCTTTCTTTGCTCCTCTTATTCTCCCTCTCCACAGCCAAAACTCCTCCACGACCTCGAGCTTTTCTTCTTCCAGTAACCAAAGATGCAGCTACTAAACAATACGTCACAGTCATTGGCCAAAGAACACCTCTTGTCCCTGTCAAATTAACCGTAGATCTTGGTCAACGATTCTTGTGGGTTGACTGTGAAAATGGCTACGTTAGCTCATCTTACAAACCTGTCCCTTGTGGTTCTATTCCTTGTAAACGTTCATTATCCGGTGCTTGTGTTGAATCATGTTTAGATCCTCCTTCACCAGGGTGCAACAATAATACTTGTTCACATATTCCTTATAACCCTTTTATTCGCACTAGCACTGGTGGTGAACTTGCCGAAGATATTGTTTCACTTCAATCGACTGATGGTTCAAATCCTGGTAACTTTATATCAAAGCCTGGAGTAGTTTTTGATTGTGCTCCTAAATCTCTTCTTGAGGGACTAGCAAAGGGTGTTAAAGGGATTATTGGACTTGGCAATGGTTTCGTTGGATTTCCTACTCAAATGTCTAATGCTTTTCGTGTACCTCGAAAATTCGCCGTTTGTTTGAGTTCTTCCACAACTTCTCGTGGAGTTATCTTCTTTGGTGATAGTCCTTATGTTTTTCTTCCTGGAATGGACGTTTCCAAACAACTTATTTACACTCCACTTTTAAAAAACCCTGTTAGTACATCAGGTGCGTATTTCGACGGGGAGCCTTCTACGGACTATTTTATTGGAGTGACATCGATTAAAATAAATGGTAATGTTGTGCCAATAAACACTACATTGTTGACCATAACTAAAGATGGCAAAGGGGGAACCAAAATTAGTACCGTTGAGCCTTACATGAAATTAGAGTCTTCGATTTACAATGCTTTGACAAAGGCATTTGTAAAATCGCTTGCTAGGGTTCCAAGGGTAAAACCTGTGGCTCCTTTTAAGGTGTGTTATAATAGAACGAGTTTGGGAAGTACTCGTGTTGGTCCTGGTGTTCCACCCATTGAACTTGTTTTGGGAAGCAATAAAGATGCTAAATCTTGGACTATTTGGGGTGCGAATTCAATGGTGGCTGTGAATAATGACGTGCTTTGTCTTGGGTTTGTGGATGGAGGAATTGAATTTGAACCCACGACTTCTATAGTCATTGGAGCTCATCAAATTGAAGACAATCTTTTGCAATTTGATATTGCTAACAAAAAGTTTGGTTTTACTTCTTCGCTCTTGTTTGGTCAGACAACATGTGCCAACTTCAACTTTACATCCAAAGCTTGATGGTCTTCCCCCAAAATACAAATGGTGAAATAGTACTAGTAGTAATTTCTTTTATTTTCCACAGGATGGAATTGGCCAAGAAATAAATGTATCCGTTTTCATTTGGTTGTTCAGTTTCTGAAGATCATAATGGCCTGCGTCAAATACCAAAAGTGTATCAGTCTTTAAACTTAATTTGGTGGTGACCTTGATTATGAATTTATGACTTCTCAAATCTCCATCATCTTGACGGGCGTTTGCTCCTTTTTTTTGAATGTCATTAGAGTGAAAAACAACGCCATAAGGAAAAGTTAATAATTATACTGTGAAATTCAAGGATTGGCCTGGCTTTAATATATGAGATCCAATTTCTGTTTTCTTACCACTAAAGTCTCTGTTAATAATATTTTTAATGAAAATGACTTCTCTGCGATTTCACTCGATATTATATTTTGTTTCTTACAAAGATCATAGACATATACTTATTTATCTATTTCTTGTTAGTAGGAGCGACACGTTGTAGCATAAGAGTTTTTTCTTAGATCGCTGTAGGATGCGAGAAAGTCAAACCTTAGAGGATTTGGGTTCATATTTTATAGTTAATGCCTAATAACTGAACACTCCTACTTGCACGTAATTTTTGTAGGCATGCAAAATTTATCGGATTTAAATTCAATAAAATAATTTGGACTATATTTTTGAATATATAGTAGTCTAAATAAATATTATGGACTAACAAAATTGGATCAATTACTTGAGCCCAATAAATATTGACTAGGCTAGCCCATTTAGTTGGCCAATGATGAGCCCACTTCATTAGGCTCAATATGTCATCTTCTTAGAGGCCCAGTTTAGTGCCATGTGTCAAATGACATGGCAAGTCAAGTCAAACGGAAGAGTCGACAGGATCATGCCACGTGTCAAAATGACAAAGCATTCCAAGTAAAACTAAAAGGCCAATCAAAATGCACCACATGTGCAAGTGACATATTCTGGCCAATCAAGTAGGGCCTTGTCACGCTTCAATCTGGTTGGTCGTAAAGAGTTTGTTCTCATCACAACTCTTCTCTTTCACAACTATAAATAGGAGTCTTCATAACTCAGAAAAGACACTAGAAAGCATAATAAGAAACAAGAGAGAGCTCGTGGATCAAACACCGCAAATTTCTCTACAAATTTCAAACTTCAAACAATCAAGTTCAAGTTCAAGCTCAAGAACAAAGAACAAAGAAGGTTCAAGGAGTACCGTGATGACCTGATAGGTCATTTATAGTCTTAGCCTTCATTTATGTGTTCTGAGACGTCAAATAGCTCCGTTTAGCCTTCCTCGATTTGCATGCGCAATCTGTATCCTTTTTTCGGTAAGTTTTTATGAGAAAATTGACGAAAAATACGAAATCGTACTTTAAAACTCATTTGAGTTGATTACGGTCAACGTTTTGTGTAAACAGGCCTGGATTAGTATTTTGACAGTCCGGTAGGTCCGTATCGTAATTAGGGACTCGGGCATATGCCAGGAATCGAATTCGGAAGTACCTAACTGGATTTATAATAACTTGTTGAAAACTAGAAGCTTAAAGGTTTAAAGAATTCCTAAATTTGATCGTGAGTTAACTTTGTTGCTATCAAGTTGTTATTTTGGTTTCGGAACTTGGTATAGGTTCAATTCAGTATTTATGACTTGTCTGAAAAATTTGGTACAAAACGAAGTTAACTTGACGTGATTCGGACGTCCGGTTGAGAAATTGCATGTTCTTAAGTTTCATTGAAAATTTCATATGTTTTGGTATCCGATTCGTAGTTCTATGTGTCATATTGGTGTTTTGATCACGCGAGCGAGTTTGTGTGATGTTTTTGGACTTGTGTGCAAGTTTGGTTTGGAGCCCCGAGGGCTCGGGTGAGTTTTAAATAGGTTGCGGATGTTTGGTTTATCTTCTGCTAGTTTCTGGTGCATGCTTCTTCGCGATCACGAAGTTACTCCCGCGATCGCGAAGAGTAGTTTGGGACTAAGGTGGATTTTTCTCTTCGTGAAGGCGAAGTACTGGACGTGAATGCGAAGTAGAGGGGGCTTGCCCTTCGCGAACGCGAAGCATTGTGGGTTCTGGGGGTGTTGGGCTTGTGTGCTACGCGAACGCGATCACTGGGTCGCGAATGAGATGGTCAGGTGGAAGAACCATCGCGAACGCGGAGCACATCTCGGGAATACAAAGGCCAATTGGGTCGTTGTGCATCGCGAACGCGACAGGTCCTTCGCGAACGCGATGAAGACCTAACGCCAGTGACTTAAAACATTTCAAACACGGGATTTCACCCATTTTTAACTATCTTTTCATTGGAGCTCGGCCTAGAGGTGATTTGGATAAGAAATTTCATAACCCTTTCATAGGTTAGTGTACTTTAAAGTATTTTCTTCCATTTCCATCATCATCCACTAATTTCTAGCCTTAATCTATGTTCCTTCATGGTAGAAAATTAGGGATTTAGGAAGAATTGGAGGTTTTTGCAAATTTGGGATTTAGACCTCAATTTGAGGTCGGATTTTGAAACTAATTATATAATCGGGCTCGGGGGTAAATGGGTAAATGGGTTTTGATCCGTATCTCAAGTTTTGACCAAGTGGGCTCGCGGTTGACTTTTGTTGACTTTTTTGCTAAAAGTATAAAAATCTTAACTTATGTATTGTAATTGATTTCCCTAATATTATTTGATGTTATTGAGTCGATTTTGGTTAGATTCGGTTGGTTCGGAGGCGTATTTTAGAGGAAAGGCTCCAATAGAGCTTTGATTTGCTTGCGGAGCATGGTAAGTATTGGGACCGTGATGGCGCCAAACATTTCACTTGTTAGGAAAGCCAATGTTAGAGGATTCACTACGACAACTTTAGTCAATATCAATAACAGAATCAATTAAGCCAATCAAAAACTAAAACTGAGTGCGGAATAACGTGAAGCCTATAATATCTAATACAATCCGGATCTGGAGTCACAACTCACGAGCTTCTAGAATTTTCAACAAACAGAGTCTGAAAGAAATACAACTGTTTTGAATGAAAAGAAATAGTAATATAGGAAATAGAAGGGAAATTCAAGGTCTGCAGACGCCAGCAGATCTACCTCGAGTCTCCAAAAGCTAATCCAAGCTGCTACGCCTCACGAACAGCTAAGGGCGTACAAAAATCTGCACAAGAAGTGCAGAGTATAGTATGAGTACAACTAACCCCATGTACTCGTAAGTGTCAAGCCTTACCTCGACGAAGTAGTGACGAGGCTATGACAAGATGCCTACATGATAAACCTGTGCAGAAAACAATATATGTACAAGATAACAACAGATAAAATCTAATCATGTACTATTGGGAGGGGGACATGCTAAGGGGATAAGAAATATGAGAGATACAGCAGAAATGATAACCATAACAATCAATATGCATTTAACCAGTACAAACAATTAGCACAATGAAGAAAATAGCACGGCATCACCCTTCGTGCTTTTACTCTCACTCACAGTATAAATCAATAGAAACGACACGGCATCACCGTTCGTGCATTAACTCTCATAATATGGCACGACATCACCCTTCGTGTATTAATACTCACAATATGGCACGACATCACCCTTCTGCATTAACACTCACAATATAGCACGGCATCATCCTTCGTGCATTAACACTCTCCCTTACCATAAAACAGTGAACAAGTAATAACAGGGAGATAGGATCAACAAGAACAAGCCTTGCTTCAATAATGGTTCCACAATACCAATCTCAACTTGGGAAACAATGCTCAATTATCACAAAAGCCCATAAACACGATAAGAACGATCAATTTAACAAGTAACTAGTCTAAGCATGAATAACATGATCAAAGTAAGCAATAATTACAAGGAATAAGTCTCACCCGCATGTTTTAACCCTACAACAAAGCATAAGTACTCGTCACCTCACATATACGTTGTACTCAACATCGAAACAGGTAGGAAATAGACAAACAAGTCCTAATCCCTCAAGTCAAGGTTAGCCGCGACACTTACCTCGCTCCAAAGAGTCAATTCAAAGCTCAACCACGACTTTGCCTTTCAAACAAGCCTCCGAACCAATAGAATCTAGCAAATTACAAACCAAACGATTCAAATTAAGCCTTAGGAACTACCCATGATTGCAAATAATTCAATTTATTATTGAAAAAGTCAACAAAAGTCAACTCCCGGGCTCGCTTGGTTAAAACACAAAATTCGGACCAAAATTCGATTACCCATTCGCCCCCGAGCCCGGTTATGTAATTTGTTTTGGAATCTGACCTCAATTTGAGGTCTAAATCCCCATTTTACAAAAAATCCCTAATTCTACCCGAACCCCCAATTTCCACCATGAAAATACAAGATTTTTGGTTGAAATCTTAGAAAATGTATAGAAAGATTGAAGGAAACTAGTTTAATCACATACCAACGATTTGGGGAAGAAGAGTTCTTTGAAAAATCGCCTCTAGGGTTTCTAAGTTTGAAAATTTGAGAGAATGAACAAAAATTCCGTCTAACTCCCATTTTGATCAGTTGCAGATGTCGCATTTGCGACCTGGGGTTCGCATTTGCAAACCCCACAACTACGAAGAAACCATCGCAAATGCGAAGTCCTTCCCATCTCTGCTTTCATCGCAAATGTGATGAATATTTCGCAAATGCGAACTGGCCTGATCAAAAATGCGAAGTAACTCTCCCCCCCCCCCCCTCCCCCCTCCCCCCAATTCCCATTGCAAATGCGAAGACCTGGTCGCAATTGCGCAACTGGATCTGTTCGCAAATGCGAAGATTATGGTCGCAAATGTGAAACTGACAGGTTTGCTGCCATGTCGCAAATGCGAGGCCAGACCTCACAAATGCGAGGTCTGAGACCTGCACCAAAAATTGAAGAACACTAGCTGAGTTTCTAAGTCCAAACCACTCTGTAGCCTATCTGAAACTCACCCGAGTCCTCGGGCCTCTAAATCAACGATGCACACAAGTCTAAAAACTTCATACGAACTTGCTCGCGCGATAAAATCGCCACAACCTGATTGAACACCAAATCAAATGAAATTTTCAAGAAAATTTTGAAACTTCTATTTTCACAACCGGACGTCCGAATCGCATCAAACCAACTCCGTTTATCACCATATTTAACAGACAAGTCATAATATAGTATTGGACCTATACTGGGTTCTGGAACAAAAATATGGACCCGTATCAATAAAGTCAAACATT